GAACGGAAGAAATCCAGGAGACTTGGAGTATATGTCAGGAAAGCTTCGAGGAAGCCACGAGGCAGGGAGGCGCGCCCTACCGCCCTGGGCGCGCCCCCACCCTCGTGGGCCCCTCGTGGCTCCCCTAACCGCTTCTTTCGCCTATATATGTCCATATACCATAAAACATCACAGAGCAGAATTGATCGGGAGTTCCACCGCCAGAAGCCTCCGTAGCCACCGAAAACCAATCTAGACCCGTTCTGGCACCCTGCCGGAGGGGGTAATCTCTCTCCGGTGGCCATCTTCGTCATCCCGGTGCTCTCCATGATGAGGAGGGAGTAGTTCCCCCTCGGGGCTGAGGGTATGTACCAGTAGCTATGTGTTTGATCTCTCTCTCTCTCTCTCTCTCTCTCTCGTGTTCTTGAGGTGGTACGATCTTGATGTATCTTGAGCTTTGCTATTATAGTTGGATCTTATGATGTTTCTCCCCCTCTACTCCCTTGTGATGGATTGAGTTTTCCCTTTGAAGTTATCTTATCGGATTGAGTCTTTAAGGATTTGAGAACACTTGATGTATGTCTTGCATGTGCTTATCTGTGGTGACAATGGGATATCACGTGATCCACTTGATGTATGTTTTGGTGATCAACTTGCAAGTTCCGTGACCTCGTGAACTTATGCATAGGGGTTGGCACACGTTTTCGTCTTGACTCTCCGGTAGAAACTTTGGGGCACTCTTTGAAGTTCTTTGTGTTGGTTGAATAGATGAATCTGAGATTGTGTGATGCATATCGTATAATCATACCCACGGATACTTGAGGTGACATTGGAGTATCTAGGTGACATTAGGGTTTTGGTTGATTTGTATCTTAAGGTGTTATTCTAGTACGAACTCTATGATAGATTGAACAGAAAGAATAGCTTCGTGTTATTTAACTACAGACTCTTGAATAGATCGATCAGAAAGGATAACTTTGAGGTGGTTTCATACCCTACAATAATCTCTTCGTTTGTTCTCCACTATTAGTGACTTTGGAGTGACTCTTTGTTGCATGTTGAGGGATAGTTATGTGATCCAATTATGTTATTATTGTTGAGAGAACTTGCACTAGTGAAAGTATGAACCCCAGGCCTTGTTTCAACGCTGTGGGCCGCAGACAAGCAAGTCTGGGGACCCCCGTTCCCAGAACGCCGACAGGTGGTAGAGTCGATTGTTGACTAAGTTTCTATTTTTTTTTTGAGAAACCTTGTGTACGCATGAACTTAGTAGGCCCACAAGTCAGCCTCCAAATCTGTGGAAGACAACATAGAGCCCATATGCTGTTTTTTCACAATTTGCAGCCCATTTGCTAATTCTTAAGTAATTTATTACAGCCCATTATCTGCCCAGGACCACGGTCAAAAAGTTCAACCTTATTTTGCATATTTCGGTGGAGTTCGAACTGTTGTAATCCCGAAATGATAAACATTTTTAAGTACTTATTTGTTTGCCAAAAAAATCGTTTTTTTGTAAGCAAACAAGAGGTGGGAGAATTGAGTTGGTTTAAAGGAAAACTAGATGTAAAAAATCAGCGCTGGGAGGGAAAACAACAACAAAAATAAGGATGTAAGTATGAAAAGGAAACTTTTTGTATTTTCAATATAATGATACGTGTATATGAACTAGTAACACAATAGGTAGAGATTAGAAAACAGAAGTAGGACATGGCGTTTCAAGAGGAAAATAGAACTAGGCTTTGTGTTCCATTTAGTAAAAAAACTGCCTGCGGATGTTGTAAGACAAAATATAACTAACGCTAGCGGGCCAGAGGCCAGTAGATACCTGCTGGATCTTTGTGCCCCGTTGTTGTCACGGGCTAGGCCTGTTAAGAACAAAACCAAGCCTGGGCAGTCTACAGCCCAGTTGAAACTTGCTCGACCAAAAAAACAATATACCCGCTCAATAAACGAGAGAATTCTGCAAGTATAGACTGATAACTGGGATGCAATAGGTATATTGTTTTTTCATCATGATAATAAGTGCATGCACTTGTTTCGAAAAATTTGGAGAACTGGGAATTCGAACGGCAGGTGCTGATGCTACCCATCAAATAAAAATTAGGTGCCTGAAAATTCGTTTCGAAACAAATGATTCAGCTTTCTATCCACATTGACCCTCGGCATGATGGTTGGAAGAAAATGCCAAGTTCATACCGAAAGATCGTTAACAGCAATACCAACTTGCAGACGATAAGGTAGTACAAGTACCAATACCAAACTAACTTATAATCTTTTTAGTCCTGGCCCTAGTGTTCGTTTGGTAGAAAATCTTACAGAGGACCAGCTCCTGCTCCTTCTCTTGCTCCAGGTCCCCGTGGTGGTACTGGTGCATCACCCAATTGGTCCTTTGCTAGTCGAAGTTCTTTTTTTTGCAGGAATGGTCAAAGTTCTTGTTGGTGTGCAGCACCAGAACGTTTTTGATGCCTGTCTGTCGGCCATTGACCATCACCGGCAAGGTATTGCCAGTCTTGTGCCACATCGCGTGCAAGCCGCAGTATGACTGTATCTTGCGACGCGTCCACGTGCCCCTTTTGAACGCCCCGGAATTGCGTTGGAAGAAATGCTTGCTTAGGACACTCAGTGTGATACCTGCAGTATTGTCGAATACATGTTTTAGTGTACGTAGTTGGCATTTTCATAACATCTTTGGCATGTTGCAGTCACTTGTTCTTTTTATTAACTGTCAAATTGTGATTGCTTCACTAGGTCTGCGTCTAAAAAGAAACATAGAGCTATAAACAAAGTATTATGTTTGTGGAAGTAGACGACCGATCGGTGTCTTACCTAGAAGTTTCTCAGGATGGGTGTAGCATATGCCGTGCTCGCTGTCGATGGTTGGTATGAACAAATTGATGAGAGGGTGAGATCTCACGCTGTCAGCACTCACTCTGGCCTCAAGGTGCTCGATCAGCTCCTGATCCATTGGATCAAACTTGACGCCAGCCGGCAGCACCGGCCAATCCTTTTTGGAGTTGCATCGGTTAATTCCAGCTATATGTTACTCAATGTATGATCAATCGATTGTTTTAAGTGAATGATGAAAGATTTCGACAGATAAGTGGTAATACTCCAAATCTGAAGTCCACAATACCCGAACAGGCCGCCGAGATTCTTGTGTCACCTCACACGCAATGTGAGGACATGATGAATAATTTGACCGACGTATACTAGTACTGCTACTATACTACTTACTATTAGTATTTAGTGTCACATTTTAACCATATGTTTAACTAACAAAATGTCAATGCATGTCACCGAAAGTTATTCCATTGGAAACTATGTTCAAATACAAATAAAACAATATAATTTTTTGTGACATGCATTAACATTTAGTTAGTGAAATTTATGGTCAAAATTTGACACAAATTACGAAGGGGACCAGTAAACCAGGAGGGAGGTAGTAGTACGAGTAGCGCAATATACGGTATAGAGGACTAGTACTAGTTTAGAAATGGGGTAAGAAGTTACAAGGCTGTGCAACAGACTTTGTAGGCTACATGAGGAATACAGAATATAATTCCCATTGGACAACACTTTCACCAACAAGTACACACTTGAAGCCTAATTGATATATATATATATATATATATATATATATATATATATATATATATATATATATATATATTTCCCTAATAATAAAGCACGGATTGAGTTTGTCGGGTTCACTATTGCGGCTTTTTTATGAAAAGGTCCCTGTAGTTTTTGGAATTAAACCCGCAGTACAGATTGAACTGGTATGAATGAAGGGAAAAAAGGCAGCGACGCTCTGCCTCGCGACGCTCCGCCCCACCCACCTCCTGCCCTGCCCTGCGCGCCGCCGGCCGCCTCCTGCCCGACCCCGCACACCCAGCCCCGCACAACATCACCGCGCGCCGTCGGCTGCCTTCTTCCTCCAATCCCATCTCCTCCCCACCCGCGGATTTCTTCGCCGTTCACGGCTCCCCTCCACCAATTGGTTGTGACCTCACGGGAGGCAGAGGATGGGGTGCGCCGCTGGTGTCCGGCTCCGGAGCTCGAGAGGGCCGATCTGCGCAGAGGAAGAGGATGGGATGGTGTGCTGCGCTCGAGACGAGGGGGCTCGAGTAAGGAGATTGGAGGGTGGCGCCGGCGGGCTCGCGGACGGGGATGGAGAGGGCGCGTGCCAGCAAGATCGAGGCCAGGGATGGAGAGGGCGAGGGTCAGTGAGCTAGAGGTTGAGGACGGGAAGAGGCGGCTCTGCCAACGTCCACGAGTGGAGGAGGGCACGCAACTCCTCTCGCCATGTGTAGATACAGTACTATTTTATAGGCGCAGACAGGAAGGAAGTACATTGTTCTTGTGGTACGCTGACGCATTTGATTTGCCGATTGCCATCTAGGAAGGGCTGGTTCTACTGCTAGATGTCGGCCCGTCGTTGCACTTGGAGCTGCAGGAAGTCGAGAATGTCTGCACCACCCTGGTGCGCAAGAAGGCAAGCAACACGAGGAGCGGCGATGGCCACTGCCTGAGCCTGGCGTTATTTTTGTTGAGAATCCTTGAGCCTGGTGGTGGTTATCGCGAGAACCAGGACAATGGAAGCCAGGTGGCATCGCTGGTCCGTGTAAAACGGGTTTAAACTTGGAGAAGCCATTAAACAACACTCTTGCTTTCTTCTGTTAGGACCCTTTATCAATCATTGAGCCATGCCAAGTTTCTGAGATGGTAATGAAGCCTGCCACATTAAATTTGTCCCTCCCCTTGGTTCTTTGTTATTTATTCTTTTGAATTCCTGAAATTTCTCTACAAAATAAGTCTTTCGTTGCCAGAAGATTGAACTGTTTCTTTTCAGCTACGATCATCTAATCTCATATATGTGTTCGTTTGAACTTATTTACTCTTTTGACTGTTGATTTGGTTTGCTTTGCCTGAAGATTGAACTGTTTGTTTTTACTGTTGATTTATGAACTCCAAGTACTGATGTGCATAATTAAGCATATGTTCAGCAGGTGTCATTGTATATGGACAAGTCTGCAGGGGTTTGCCAGTCGGACTTCCATGATTGCAAATTGTCGTTCCTGCAACTTATATGTGATCACGATCTTTTTGTTGAGATGACTGGTATGTATCCCGCTGTAAATTCATGGACTACCAACCTAGGGAACTATAAATATTCTAGTTTGCCAAACTATTTTAATAGACCAGCAATATTGTTCAGAGACTTTGGTCCTCCTCCACAGCGGGATGCGACCTCCCTGGAGCAGCGGGTCGGAGGGGGAGAAGATCTTGTTATCTATAGCAACGTTGAGTGAATCACCGTCGAACTGAAGCGCGCCTCCTGTAGCTGCGACCCTGCGTTGGCCCTGCCCACATACGTTCGCTAAGACCAGAAACAGAGCAGAAAAGGAGTTCAAATGACCTCTCTCTGTTTTCCCCATCTGGGAGGGCGTTGCCGGAGCAGTTAAGGCATGCGGAGGTTTGTAAGTTGCGTAGGAGGTGGCCTAAGGGTGGCACGGCGTACAATCCCTCTATTGTCATTTTATATCTATGATTTTTTTTGCAGCATGCGCAGGTGTTTCAGGAAGAAACAGTAATAGCATCGACTAGGAGGAGCAAGACAAGAAGCAGCGACAGCTACCATTGCTAGCTAAGCTATCTGCTACTATGCCCGCCTCTCTTTGCAACAGCCAAAGCACACAACAATCCATATTTTGGTGAATTTTTTCCCCACTTTGCTGACTTGGGACGGGTTGTGGGCAACAGCAGTTTGGAAGAATCGGTAGTAGAAACGTGAATTTTAAAGCCAATGGCCTAAAAAACTATAAGGATACTTGATTTGTTTCCATGTCTACCTTTCAGTATTCAGCCTTGCGAGAAAAGGTGCCTCGAGATAGAAGCTTGACATAGGTGTGGCCTTGAATGCCAGGATTTTATGAGTAGCCTGACTCTTCTATTCACATTACAGAATCATAATTCAAAAGATCATTGGAAGTTTGCTTATGAAAGTAAAAGATCAATGTACTAATGCATTTCAAGTTTTCAACAGGAGAATACTTTCTGCTGTTTTAATGACCAAGTATTATTGATCTTGAGGTGTGTTATTGATCTCCGTTACTAAATAGCTGGTGTTTTTTGTTACTTTGTGAAGAAGCATTACATGCAAGACACCATCAAAAAAAAAACTGCTGCCCCTGATGCTTACTCGCAGAATCGCAGCTTGATGGGGCTTGCTGCGCCTTTGGAACACGCAACCGCTAACAAAGAGCAGCTTGAAGGTTTGAACAAATGTACATATTGAAATTTAGAGTTCCAATAGTACATATGTGCAAGAGTGTAATGTTCACTTGGAACTTGCTCGTGGTGGAGACATTCCACACAAAAAAAGTGAAGACGACCTGAAACTTGATGAGATAATTTAGTAATTTGGTCTGGTTAGTACATTTCTGCATAAACAAAAAAATTTCCAATCAAAGCACATTCGCTTATGATGTTTTTTGTGTGGGAGTTTTATGATGTATTTTTTGTTAGTACATCGTTTCATTAATGATACTGGATGAGGGGAATAAAAAACACGTGCATATGTAGGTCACTCCCATTGATTAATTTACTGAAAATTGAATATATAATCAAGACAATGACTTAGTTCCAAACATGCAAAATTATGAATTAATTTTTTATTAAACGTACAACTTGAAAATTCTGATTTTATATCATATGTGAGGTTGTAATAGGAGAGGATTGGACACTCTTCCATCTGATAATGGATTGTTTCGAAGAATGGATCTTGGTACTTTTGAACAATTTTATACTATTGTTTTTCTATTTGCAAAGTTGTTTGAGTTGTATGCACAAACATATTTGTTCGAGTGTTAATTAGTTCTATAGGTTTCCAAGCACATGTTTATTTATTTTGCTGCTACTCACGTCGACCCCAAGAAGTCCATCTATGTGTGCATGGGCGATACAAATGGTGCGGAGAAGGAATCATGTGCGAGATCACTGGTCAATCTGGTCCACAACATCAAGTGCCGACGTCCATGGTGCAAGGCAGTGCTTTTCAGAGCAAGCAACCTAGCAAGTTCATCGGTGATCAATGGTTTGTTTGAACAACATATATGTGCGATTATACTCGGCTTATATATTGGGTTAGGGGCAGGTGGTAATATTTTACTCTCGTTGCAACACATGAGAACTAAAACAGATCATGAAGAACATTGTTAGGGTACGTCCAAATTTCATGGTCAAAAAAGAAATACTCAATGTAGTCTTATTTTTGACGTTTTGTAAAAATTGGATTAAAGAAGTGCTGCACAATGGCAAGTGGAGCAGGTTTTAATTTTTCGCCCGGTGCAACGCATGAGCATTTGCACTAGTGTGTATATATATATGTATATATATATATATGTGTGTGTGTGTGTGTGTGTGTGTGGCTTCTGCACAGCATCTCCATCATCATTATCAGTACATCCTACGCAGGTGAGTTAGGATGCACTTGATCCCAGAAAGGTATCTATCCTTCAAACCAGAGGAGTGCTTAAAACTAACAACAGTACATAATATCCAACAAAAGAGGGTCATGCTACAGTAACATGATACATGGCTCGGTCTAGATATCAGTACGAATCAAGTTGTGCATATTTGCTGCTGGCATGAACCACATGTCGGGTTTGCAAAAGCCATCCATCGCATGGAAGCTTGATGCCTTTCACACACTGAATATTATCTCACAACAAGCTGTGTTGACTAATCTTTGGATATGGTGATTCATGAAACCCATGGTATGATGTGTAAACAAAGTTCCCCTGGCGAATGGAAGTTGCATAGCACGGTAATCATCATTGGTTATATGATCGATGATTGGTTGGATGATTGGATAATTGAGCCAGAGGAACATCAAATTACCGCCGTCAGCTGAACGAGCGATAAACCACCACCCATCGGCTGGTATGATTCGAGGTCCTGGAATCATGAAGGCCAGCGCATTTGCGTCTGCTGCAACAATTCAAATTGGAGACCAAAAGGACAAAAATGAACAATCATGTTCAGAATATGTGTAGAATTAAGATTATTATAACAGTGACACATATCATAGACAGAGAATTGCAATGTCGTGGTCATAATCATACCCCAAGTTAAAAAAATAAGCCAATGGATTTCATATTCTAGCAATATATCATGCTTCAAACATCATGTAACAATGAGAGGAAAGCATATATGACAGGGCCTACTCATATTCTACCATAGCACTTACTATAGTTATCATATCAACTCTAAGCAATAACATGCGTTGTTATAAAAATCATGGAAATGAGAGTAACATATAGCAATCATGAGGTTATACTCATAATATCTATTCTAACAATCATTAGATGCCAAATTGTTCTCATATCAACTCTAACAATAACATGTGCGGTCATAAAAATCTAGGAAATGAGAGGAACATATAGCAATGATGTGGTTATAGACATACTATAGGCTTGTTCGGATTCCCTCCTCCTCCACAACTCCACTCCGCGAGCTGGAGGAGCCGCAGTTTAAAATCACGGAGTGGGGAAGGAGGCACTCTACAGATTCTCAGATTTCACGGAGCGGGAGAATTACCAAACAAGCCTATATATTCTAAATTTGTAACAATGAATAGGCAGTCGTATTCATAAGGCAAAGATGAGATGAGATAGAACAATTACACGACGATAGATTCCACCAGTATAGGCAGCCAATCTGTGCGTCGACCGCGTAAATGATGCCATTGTGCACTATAGCATCAGACAGAAATATTGGCTGATGAGGATTGACGATGAGCCATAACCATGTATGGCGACCAGATTCTAGATAGACTAATCCAATGTTGAACAGGGCAATGAGCTTGTAATCCATGTAGTCTTCTGATGGTGTGGCCACTTCGCAGAGTACAACCTTCAGCAAACAGAGGTCGAGTCAAAATGTCAACGCGTCTCGTGCGTAGTAGGCAGGAGTGTCCGACGGGCCACGAGGCTCGATGGCGGTGGTATCCAATGATGGAAGGGTGATCTCTCGCTGGGTGTAGATATCCATGAGACGCCACGGACTACCGGATTGGTGGATGAGGACGATCCAGTTGGCCTTCATGCCCTCCCAGTAGTGGCCGCGCATGAAGGACAGGTGGACGGGTAGTGGTAGCATGTCGAGGGGCACCACGGCAACCTCCGTAGGATCGTCAAGTCGGTGTTTGGTCCACCTACGAGGATCAGGCATCAGCAAGCAGGGTGTCTTCAAAAGAGCCGTCCGGTTGCAGACGAGTAGACGGTACAAATACACCGAGCATGCGGTCAGACGGATGGTGCTGAGCAGGTCCATACGATTATAGATCTGCTCCAAGAGAACATCAGGGAGGGAATTCCAATCGCGGCTCTGCTTGTCAGTCGGTTCTACCATAGGGTTTTTTAGGGCGCTGAGTGACTGCGGCTTTCGGTGCCTACGAGCCAGCGGGGAAGTGGATTCAGGCGGGCGAGCGAAGAAGATGGCGTGTCTGTCCGAGCAGTGAGCGGGGGGATATGGTACACGCGAGCTACCAAGGAAGATGGTGCGGGAGGGCGAGCAGTGAGCGGGGGGAATGGTGTGCTGCTAACGACGGGCAAGAGAGGAGGAATAAGAAGAGAGGAGGAAGAAGAGTGAAAGACGGGGAAGAAAGTGCATTAAATCTCAATTCTAGTAGTACTACTACCAGGATATACCATCCTTCAAAGTGTAAATAGTTACACCAATGACATGTGGGTCTACCTCAAGAGGGCCCATATGTCAGTTAATGGAGGAGAGAGGTGCGTACTCGTATTTGCGGAAGCGTGCTCCACTGGAAAACATGATGGCAATGCTAGGTAATGCTGATTTAGTAGCGCCAACATGCTGATTCAGCTTATTAATTAAGCGTCCCATTTGCTGCAGCGTGTATTGTCACTTCACTGTGAAGAATAGTTGAATAGTTCTATCTGACCGAGATGGCGAACAATGGATCGTGAAGACTTCCTATCTACAGTATCCCTATGCCTATATGCTCAGGTCCCTCCCAATGCTCCACCTTGTACAGGTGCTAAGGCTGCCATGTAGGAAAAAAGTCTGATGTGGCAAGGTAATTAAGGGGAGAGAGATAAGTGTGGTGACCCCAGTACTAAGCGCGAGAACCTAGACAAAATACTTAAATGGAAGAATCCCACCAATGCGTGAAGAAATTTAGTTACAAAATCATTAAATAAAGGATGCTTAGCACCAACAAGTTAATCACCTATGCATTGGGAGCTTTAGTTGCTAAAGTTTTTAATGTTCTTAGCACCCCATGTAAGCACCGATGCATT